CAAGCTGCTACTCTCAGCTACTGGCTGCCTTGCCCTCTGCCTTCAGATGCATACATGCTAGTTTTCTGAACCACCATGACTTCTATAGACTGGATGATAAAAATCTTGTATAGATCCTTACACGGCCTTGTCAGTTGTGGATGAAACGAAACACACGTTGGTTTCCAACTGAGCTATTCAAATCATATTCAAAGCTGTGGTTTCACACCAGACAGCAGCAGTAACAGTTACCCGGAATAAACGTGCTATTGGCCCTTTAATTCCTCACATGAACGTGACAAAGCAAAAGCAGAACATAAAGTAGAACTTGTTTGATAGTCAACACTGAATAATGAACAATGCTTGGTCCCTCATGTTTCACTGTTCCCACATTTATTATTAAAGAGTACATATTATGCTCATTTCCTGTTTCTTAATTGTGTTCTGTGACATGTTTCCATGCTTTAACTGTAGCCCTCAAAAAGGTCTTCATTTTTCTCATACTGTCAGTGCCGCAGCAACTCTTTTCACCCTCTGTCTGACACACCAATAGAAGCGCGAGTGTTACATAGTGATATCACAATTTTACGCAAGTAAAGAAACTCCCTCTAGCATCTTTGGGAGCCTTTGCAGACGATTGACATGCTCAAAAACCTATGTGACACACTACAGGTAAGGGACAACCCACAAAAGCACAATAGGCCCTCTTAAAGGCACATTTAGAAATTACAGAACAACTATGAGTTAAATCTGTATTCAAAGGACTCATAGGCAGGGGCGGACTGGCCATTGGGAATACCGGGCGTTTTCCCGGCGGGCCGGTACCGAAGTGGGCCGGTCGGAGAATTCACTAGCACCCAGCTCCCCACCCCCCCGTTGACAATTGACTAGCGGTGCCGAGTTGGGCTGGTCGGCCGGTCGAGTTTCCCAGGCTGATTTTTAGTTCCGGTCCGCCCCTGCTCATAGGTAGTGTGAGGACATGACTTATCCCACCTCTCTTATTAAGACCTAATGAGTGAACCAGAACATCCTTTTTGAGTATTAATAGCACACTTTAGCTCAGGGACAGAAAAGGTTGGAAGTGCTGCAGCTCACCTGACACTGAACTATTAGCTAAAGGTTCCTAAACTATGAAACAACAGCCGGACTAACTTTGAGCATTGCCAAAGGCTTGTTCCCTAAGACCCACAAATGACTTGTCACTGTCGAGCCACAGGCGTTATTCAGACCTGTTGAATGATTGGAAAGAGAATTATAATAAGAAACTGGAAGAACCCAGATGGGCCCTCTTTTTAGGAAAACAGAGTATGCAAAAGTATCTATGAATTATTAAATTTCTTTCAGCTCGAAGGACAGGACTGAGAAATATGTTGCAGTGTAGGGAAGCTACTTAAAATACAGCAGGCACCATGTACACGATGCTTGGAACTACAGCTAACGTACACCAAGAGTACATGTGTTGCTTGGAAATTAAAGTAGATGTTGGTGCATATTAATGTTTAATTTATTTAGTGCTTTTTCTATACTTCTTCTTTATTGGGTCCTCTGCTTAAAATACCAACAAGTTTTTCCTACATAAAGCCAAAAAAAAGATTGGATTTGTTCACCAAGACGTGACAATTCTATATAAAAATGATTCTTCTTTCTCAACTATCACTAATCGAAATCAAGCTATCAAATTCCCGTGCTACAATCAAGGATCTCTGAGACCGAGGAGAGGTTTGTTCAGTATTTCTGTGACAACCTCTGTTCTGAAATATTAATATCTTTCTTAAACCAAATCCCCATTCTCATAGCAGACAAATAGACTTGTCAAGGACAGATGTGACGTATCCAAATTCTTTCACATCCATTAAATGTGACTAACACGGAATGTAGGCAAAAAGTAGCTTTCATGCCATGGACGCTTCTCTTTTCATTGAATCACGGGAAAAGATCATAAATAGTATAGGGCTGTGCAATTAATCGTATTTTAATCGCAATTACGATTTTGGCCTTCCACAATTAGGAAAACAACATAATCGGAAAAAACGATTATTTTGCTTTGCTTTGTTGTGACAGTGCACTGCAACATATTTGATCTAATTTATTTGTATTTATCATTAGTAGCTTGTTGAAGTGCGTTCCAAAATACTTGTTGATCTTGTTTATTGGTATTTATTATTTTTGATATTATTTATTTAAATGTGAAATATAAATGTATCATTTATTTTTGTATTGGTTTTTCGGTTGAATAATACGTTCAGGGTAATCAACAGTTAAAAAGATACTGTTCAAATTATTATTTGTTTTTGTTTTAAAGTTCAATAAATGGATGTTTTCAAAGTCAATGAATAATCGTATTTAATAATCGTGATATCAATTATTGACCAAAAATAATCGTGATTATGATTTTTGCCATACTGTAATCGCACAGCCCTAAAATAGTAGATGCATTTCACATTCTCAATGGATATTTTGACTGGCCAAAGCAGGAGAAGCACAGGTGGATTTTTAAACACAATAACGGCTGCATTCCATTTAGGTGAGCCGGTTCCAGGGCATATTGGCTCTCTCTGTCACTTAATGGAAAGGAGCCATCGTTAATGTGATTATTTACGCCCGGCTTTGACAGGCCACATTTCAACACTAACAAAGAGTGTATAAAATGGAGGATATAAATATAGCATACTATATTAAATGGGGAGTGCTCAGTTGAATGGGGCGGTGGTGGTCCATAGGGACTTGGCTTGGCAACTGGAAGGTCACCAGTTCAAGACAAAGTGCTACCGAGGTGTCCCTGAGCAAGGCACCGTTCCCTGCACTGCTCCCCGGGCGCCGTTCATAATGGCAGCCCCACTGCTCCTAACACTAGGATGGGTCAAATGCAGAGAAACCATTTTGTTACATAGTACCTGTCCTATGTAATGACAATAAAAGTGCAAAACAAAAAAAAAGGGTGTCCTAATGGCTAAAGTGATTTGAACAATGGGATTGTTCTCTCTTGTAAAGCTTGTTCAGCCGTTTAAACTAGGGTTTGGTGATATCAACCAAATTGGCATATGACTATATCCACAGAGAATTTTCACGATTTGATGATGATTCTTTTCTAAAGGTGTTTTCATTTTTAACTGGTAAAACTGTGAGGATTAACATAAACAAATGTTTATCGCAAAAACAATGCATTCTACAAGAGAAGTGACATTCTGCTATTTTTTTAGGTTCATATTCGTGTTTTGTGCCTCTACTGTGACTTGTTTACATGCTTTAATGTTCAAAAAGGTCTTTTTTTTTCCTTCTCATACTGGCCTCTTTTCACCCTCTGTCTGAAACCAGAGCCCAGTCTGCTCTGATTGGTTAGCTGGCCGGCTCTGTTGTGATTGGACTGCCAAGGCACAC